TTATATTTCCAGAATAATTAACAAAGGCATATCCTTATTATTGATAATTCTAGTATGGTAATAGATTGGTATGATTGGATGTTCATAATTTACTCCATCAGGTCCAAATTCCACATTTAGACGAGGACTATTGTATGTTCTCCCAAAAAAGCACTTTTCTCCTTGTGAGTTTTAAATAAAAAAGTTGGCAGCAATTGAGAATTGCAAATTCAGCACAGGATTCTAAGGACGTCTGAGTCCACCGATTCGAGACACAATCAACTTATATGCTTTTTAATCTAAGCCCATTTAGATTGGGATTGAAGAGGGTAGACTCTTATGCATCTTCTAAAATTTTAGAAACTTCTTTATTGAGTTTATGTCTTCGGTTGACATTAATATTATTGTTTGAAAATAAAAAATATCATACGTAAAATTATAATTGTCATTACTTATTTATGCTTCTCATTTCTAAAGGTGAATTGAATAGTCCTTTGAATTTACAAAGAAATTGTAATTGTGATAAGTTATGCAATTTATTTATTAATTAAGTTCATCTATAATACTATATATATCATTATTTTGAATCTTCATTATCCCAGATGTTATCCCCTTCAAATACCTCTCCTTATTCTTAATTCTCCTCTTCCATAGCCAATCTAACATATTCCTGAAATGCAAATCTATCCCAATCAGTAAAATCTGGATGATCAACTATGTCATTTCTTACTTGAAATGGGTCTCTATTTTCATAAGCAATTAATTTATTTAAATTGGTTAAGAAATTGAAGAACACTCCACAAACAGTCAGATTCTATTTGAAATGACTTAATTTAAAGAGGATATCATTTTCAGGATGTAGAAGATCAACCATCTAACAAACAAAATCATGGAATAAAATGGGTTCATGATTTAAATAATCCATTCTCTATTTCAATTCCTCATAAAAGTAATCCATCTCGAATCCTGTAATAATTCCATTGTCATCTAAATCGATAACCTTGAACCAATATTCTATTGATTATATAGTAGTCTTATCCTCTTCACATAAAATGAAGTAAATGAAATCTTCATAAGACATCTTCTAATCTATTTAACTTCTGAATCTACGAGGAATCTGATCAAATATTCTATCGACGACTTTACGACTTAGACCATGACTGGAGTAACGAGAGAAATCTTCCTTGCTGATATGGAAATCGTGATCACCATCTAATTCCCAGAATTTGCAATAAATAACATAGAAATGTTCATATGAGAAATATTATCTGATCTAATATAGGAACTATGAATTAATACTTTATTAATATCATCTTCCTTTCCCAATATATCCAAGATATCAAATAAATTACTTGATTTAAAGTCACGCCATGTAATTTTATTGTTATCTTTTCGACACAAATGAAAGAATATTCTATGAATTACTGTGTCTGCATATCGTTCTTAAAATTCCGGTGTTGCTTACAAAAATTCCAACCCCGGATGCTATTCAAGTAAAACTATTTAGGAAAGAGAATGTACTCTTCATGAAAGGTTTGAAATCATCAAATTAAATGAAGTCATTCTTTGGTTTTTTGAGAATATGAAAACACCTCTGTTTTGGTTCTTTTTATGCTAATTGCTAATTCCAATACTTGATAAAAGCGGTTTTACTAATTTTGTTGCCTGTACCTTCTACTGCTGTCATTAAAATTCTTGTTAAGTATTTGCATAGACCACATAAATTTGTAGTGATCTGCTCAAAATGACTAGCATCGATTTGTTCAGCTTTACCAAATATTTCATGAATTATTTTCTATAATACTATAAAAATGTGGTCTATACATTCTATTCTTATTGTAATTATAAATTGATCTCTTATGTTGGGAAATAGAATTGGGCAACCAAATCGTAATTTTATACCTCCTCTACATGTAGCTTTTTCTAGATTATTTATGATTATGTCAATGATTATGATAAATCTTCTGGAATGCGCTATTTAATTTCGTGAAATGAGTCTGCACGAGGAGGAGTTGAAGGACCTTAGCTTTTTTTGTTAGGTGAGCTTAAGAGTGCACTTTGTGACATCCCAGACATAGTCATTTTATTTGTGAAAAAAGCATTAGGTTGAGTAATAAGATTATTTTACTTTCCTTCCCGCACATCCTTTATCAGTTGATGTACTAACTTTTATGTTTAGGGTAAAGTTAGCCATTTAATGAAGAGATCATCAACTCGAGTTTTGGCCAATTAGTATCTAATATTTTAAGTTAGTGGGAAACCTGCTCCAACTCCTTCAGAATACGATTTCTAAAGCATAAAATAATTAAAATATCTTTTTAATTCTATGTTTGCAATCACAAAGTAGGCATTGTTTAGGCAATAAGCAATGAAACTCATGAATCGATTTACTGTAGTTGCCAATAATAAACCAGATAAAGGACAATCTCAAGTAATATTAAAATTAATGATAAAAGGGTCATTTGACAGACAAATACACAGTCATAGATCACACTTATGATGCAGTAGTTGTAGGAGCAGGTGGAGCTGGTTTAAGAGCAGCATTTGGTTTAGTTGAATTAGGTTTTAAGACTGCATGCATCTCTAAGCTATTTCCAACTAGATCCCATACTGTTGCAGCACAAGGAGGTATTAATGCTGCTTTAGGTAATATGACAGAGGATGATTGGAGATGGTATCAATACTCAAAATTTACATAGGCATGCATATGATACTATTAAAGGATCAGATTGGTTGGGAGATTAAGATGCAATTACATATATGTGCAAAGAAGCACCGAAGGCAGTTTATGAGTTGGAAAGTTATGGTTTGCCATTCTCTCGTACTCCTGAAGGCAAAATTTATTAAAGAGCATTTGGAGGTTAGAGTTTGAAGTTTGGAACAGGAGGATAAGCATATAGATGTTGTGCAGTGGCTGATCGTACTGGACATGCAATGTTACATACACTTTTTGGCAGAGCTTTAGGTTATGATTGCATTTTCTTTGTTGAATATTTTGCACTTGATTTAATGATGGATGAATAAGGGTAATTTTATATTTATTATAAATTTGTAGAGCTTGCAGAGGAGTTGTATGCATGTCAATGGCAGATGGATCAATCCATAGAATCAGAGCTGGATATACAGTTATTGCAACAGGAGGATATGGAAGAGCATTCTAATCATGTACATCAGCACATACTTGCACTGGTGATGGTGGTGGTATGACAATCAGAGCTGGTTTACCCATGGAAGACTTGGAATTTGTGTAATTCCACCCTACTGGTATTTATGGATCTGGATGTCTTATGACTGAAGGATGTAGAGGAGAAGGAGGTATTCTTAGAAATTCATTGGGTGAGAGATTTATGGAAAGATATGCTCCTACTGCTAAAGATTTAGCTAGTAGAGATGTTGTCTCTAGAGCTATGACTAAAGAAATATTAGAAGGAAGAGGGTAATTATTATTATATTATTACCATTTTTAGAGTTGGACCAGAAAAAGACCATATTTATTTACATTTAAATCATTTACCTGCTGAATTATTGCATGAAAGATTGCCAGGTATCAGCGAAGCAGCTAAGATCTTTGCTGGTGTTGATGTTACCAAAGAACCAGCACCTGTATTACCAACTGTCCATTATAATATGGGTGGAATACCCACAAATTTCAAAACAGAAGTGCTAAATTAAGTTAATGGAAAAGACTAAATTGTCCCAGGATTGTTAGCTGCAGGTGAAGCTGCTTGTGCCTCAGTTCATGGTGCAAATAGATTGGGAGCCAATTCATTACTAGATATTGTTGTCTTTGGAAGATAGGCTGCCAATTTAGTGGGTGAAAAATGGAAACCAGGATAGAAACAACCAGATCTTCCTAAGAATGCTGGTGAAGCTGCTATTGCAAGAATTGATAGACTAAGACATCATGAAGGATCATAAACAATAGCATAAGTCAGAAAGGATTTATAGAGAACTATGTAGAAACACGCAGCTGTTTTCAGAATCGAAAAGACTCTATAAGAAGGTGTGGAAAAGGTTAAGGAAATCTATTCAAGAAAAGATGATGTTAGAATTAAAGACAAAGGACTAGTTTGGAATTCTGATCTCATTGAAGGTTTAGAATTAGAGAACCTATTATGTACTTATTAGACTTTAAAATAGTATAAGGAAAAATGACTATAGAAGGAGCTCTCAACAGAAAGGAATCCAGAGGCGCTCATGCAAGAGATGATTATCCTGATAGAGACGATAAAAATTGGATGAAACACACTCTTGCAAGAATTCAAGATACTAACTCTGGAGATGTTCAATTGACTTATAGAGATGTATATATCTATTTATTAATAAAATAATAGGTCATTACAAAAACTCAGGATCCTAAAGAGTTTGATACTGTGCCACCAAAGAAGAGAGTCTATTGATAATTATAAAATAAAATATATATAATTATTTAAAACCACTTAAAAAAATCAAATTTCTAATTTAAATTGATATCTCTTTAATGAAATAATGAATGCTTTCATTCATTTTGAAATAGACTAATTGATATTATTATAATTAATTTTACACATTATCTATTTCATTAGTAAAGTCTAGATTCATTTAAGATGAATATTTAATTCTATTTAATATAATATTATTTTATAAATGTTATTAAATATTATTTAGAACAATATAATACAATAAATATTTCTAACTTCAGTTAAATGACTCTAAAAAATATTTGTTACTATTATATTAAAACTAAAAAGATATCATTTTATGCAAATATCACAGCTCCATTTTTTAAATTACAACTTTTAAGAAAAGCCATTGAATTGGATTTAATCAGAAAGCTGAAAAAAGCAAAATTAGTTTTTGAGACATTCCCATTAAGAATTTTCCAACAATAGGAATGGAAAAAAATAACTTAATATCCAAATTTATTGTCTTAATTTGGTTTTAGAATGACTATTATATCAATTTAATCTTTAGAATAAACGTATCTGTTTTGAAAAAAAAGAATAAACTTTTCTAATATTAGTAATTTATTATTATCACTAATGAAAATTAATGAATGTTTGTAGTTCTAATTGAAGTAAGAGGAAATTAATTTGGATAAGGAGGCCTTCGAGATTACTTAAAGAATCATGGAAAAGGTTCAACAGAGATCAAATGCAAAGTCAGGTCAAAATGAGTTATCTTCTTAATATCTTAGAGCAAGTGATTACTAAGGGAGACAATTGTTCCAGAGCAATGAAATTGAAATTAGAAGACAATCTGAGAAAGTTACTAAAGGGCCAAGTCAATAAATGAGACGAAAAGAAGAAGATTTCTTTCTTAGTTTAAAGTCAGGAAAGACAAGAAGCCTGAAGGATTGATTCGTTTTTAGAACTAATTAAGAATGGGAGACTTAAAAACCATACTAAAAAGTCCACTTTAGCCTAATGAATCAAGACATAATGATGTACATCAAAAGACAGTTAAATTGAATAATTATGAGAATATTTGTTTTTTGGAACAGAAAAGTGAGAAAATGTAGTAGATCTAAATTATGTATAAAATTAACTTTAGTTTAGGAATGAACCTAATCAGTAATTAAATTATCGAATTCACTAACTAAGCATTAGAAGAATTTCATCACCAAATCTACATCAATTAAAACTTGATATCAATTTACAAACTAAATCTTCCTTGAGTTTAAAAACTACTTAATTATAAACTCCTGTTCCTGTCTCGTTCAAATAATACGATATAGTGACCCAACTATTGGGAAGCTTGAAGAATTAATAAAGAAATTAAGGAAATTATTTAACAAAACGATGAAAAGCCTTAATCTTCGGGCTTTTAGGCTATATACATTTTACTTAATTCTTAAAATAAAAATAATATATTTATCAAAAAACCTATTGTCTTGAAAAATTATTATTTTCATAAATTTTAAACTAGTACTCATCCTCAATCCCAAACTTAAAAAGATTCACTCAAAATCCTTTAATATCTCTAAGGTTTCAATTCTCAGAATAAATAGATAATAGATAAATACCTAATGTTGCTTTTAATTTTATGGGATGACGAGCAGGTTTGCTATGACCATCTTTCTTTTTATATCCGGTCTTATTGTCATACCATAGAAATGAACAATCGTTTGCTCGGCTTGTAATAAATAAGGAATTCGAATAGAGTTCCTTCTAACATTAAATTCGGAATTATTTTTTTGGGCGTTGTATAATGTCTTTACTAAGATTGATATTCAATTTACAATTCGATTTTTGGTGTTTACTTTGATATGTATTGATTTTTTTTAGGGTATTTTAATGAATAATCTACTCTTTTTTAAAGTTCTTAGAGAGAATTAAATGTTGCTATATGATGTTGATGTGAATCGCTTTTCTGAAACTCATATTATAAATATTATTGTTCTTTTTTTAACTGGTCATAATTTATGACAGGAACATTTGCTTTAAAAATTGGGCCAATACGAAACCTATTTTATGTAAAATTCATTAATTTATTTATGAATGATAAAAATTTGAGATTAACTTTTAGTTAAAAAAAATGTGAAAATTACCAACTCTTATTATCATTTAACACAAGAATTATTCGGATTATATACAAACATGTTTTTGTACTGATCATCTTATATTTTTAGAAATAGACTTATTTAATATATTGAACACAAGAATACACTTATTAGAAACTGAATTCAATTCGACATCCTCCTACGGCCACTTGGTCCGACCGGGTTTTCGAGTATTCCTATTCTAAATCTCACTTTCCTTTCCCTTGATATTTCTTGACCTCTCTAGATATTCATTGCATCCATTCTTACCCTTATCCCTATCTTTCAATATAGAATTAGGCCTAAGAGGAGAACCATCAGGATGCTCTAATTATGTCATCATAAAGAAATTTCAATCCAATAAAAATTATAAACTAAACAAGATAAAGTATTCTAGAAAAGGCATATTGAAAAGAAATTAGATTACATTTTATTATAAAATATACAAGCCATCAATTTTTTTATTTTTAAAGATATAACAAATATACTTTTTTAATAACACTGTTACGAAAAACATCTACATATAATAGATAAATTATATATTCAATTAAAATCGATATTTTAAGTAATCTGAGCTACAAATAATGTATATAAAATTAATATAAATCATTAGAATATCCCTTATTCTGATTAGTAAACTAAATTTGAATAGATTATGAAAGAAAATTAATTTCGTTTTCAATTTCGATATATTAAACATAACGATTTCATTCTTACTCTATAAAGTATATTTCTTGATTCATTAAGTATAAGGTTTGTAAAACAATGTTTTTTTTGTTACAAAATAAAATAAATGCCAAGAACCCCTCTTTGTAATTAAATTATTTATTTTTAGATAGAATTTATAAAATTAGAAAGTCTATTAAAATTCATTTTATGAAAAATACTATAAGAATTACAAAAATCATGGTATATAAAATAAAAGTTGATTCAAGGATCAGAATCATCTGAAAGAATGCAAACTTTAGACACCTAATCTTTTAAAATAACTTAATCGAGTAAAATTTTTGAGACTTATTTGTGAACTAGAATTAAGTTTTTGTAATAATTCCCAGTATATCATTTGAATTGGAAAGGTTTATTATCCTTCTTCTTAAGAATTACATTTATTCGGTAACTTTTATAGATCTGAGGCATAATTATGGTTAGAGTTTTTTTAATTGAGTTTTGTTTTTTTTAGCGAATTTTCTGGATGTATATATTAGCATCTTGATCCATAGTTGCACCAGCCATTGTTTAGAAAATTTTTGCATGGTTTAGTCTTGTAGTTTTAATGAAGATGGGCTTTAGGTAATAGCTCAGATTAACCATGTGCATATGAACACTAAACAATTAATAAAAGATAATACATTTGAGCCAAATTTGCAACTACCTGTAAGTGTAAAGTTTTTGCATAGTTCAGTCTTTTTCTTTTTTGTATATTCTTCAATGAACTATTATTTTTCAAGAGAATTATTGAATTTTTTTCTAATAGGCCTGACTCTACAATGATAATATTCTATTTTTACCCTATTTCAAATTCCTCCTCTTCTTCATCTGTACTAAGTTAATCAAATTAGATTGGAGAATAATTTTCAATCTCTAAGTTAGAATGCTCCATAGAATTATATTCCATTATTTTTTAACTAAATAAATTATTTATTAGAAGAAATATTTGATATGCTTTTATTTCAATAAAATATTCTATTGATTCATAATGATCAATCACTTAAAGAATACAACTCATTTATTTATTTAGCAAAGAATGCCTTAGCCTTATGTCTCATCAATTTCAAAGTATTGCTTGTTAATCCATGAACAACAAAACTGATTGGCTCAAGATATAGTTATTTTATATTCTCTAATCCGTTGAGCTTCTCCAATTTTCCCTAGAATATTAATGAATATTACTTATTTATTTACTTGCTCTAGGAAATACTTTATTATGTCCTTATTTTTACATAATTCTTCAAAAGTTTGATTTAAACCAAATTAATTGCCAAGATTGAGTACAAACTATTTATCTGGGACGATAAAGCCAATGCAATAACTTTTTGAAGGGTCACCATAGACAAATGCTTCAGTTACTCCATTCACTCTTTAATAGATTCCTTCTATTTTTTCAGGTGCAATGTATTCCCCTTAGCTCAATTTGAAGATATTTTTGACTCTATCGATAATTTATAAGGCACCATTTGGTCGTATTACTCCTACATCGCCAGAATGGATCCATCCATCTTTATCAATCATTTCTTTTGTCTTTTCCTCATCTTTGTAATATCCGGCAAAGATAGCATTACCTCTTAAGCCTAAAGTATTATATATATATTTACAGATTTCCCCTCTTGGGGTAATTTAGTTATTTTCATTAATATCAGTGCTACGATAATTCATTTCAGGAACGTCAATTACTTTAAATTCAATATTAGGAAAAACACCTCCAACATGTCCACTGATTGAATCTTCAGCTTTAGTAATGAAAGATCCACCACAACCTTCTGTTTATCCATATCCTTCAATGAAGGGTGCACAAATAACACATTTTAAAAAATCTATTACTTCTGCAGACATTGGAGCTGAACCTGAAAGCATATATCTAACTCGTCCCCCTAAAGCTTCTTTGGTCTTATTGAAAACCATGTTATCCCAAAATCTATGTTCTACATGACCCCCATTTTTAAGATAATATTATTTGCTTGATAAAGCCTATTCACATAGTTTTTTTTTGGCCCCTTGCAGACTTTCTAATTTTTGCTTAATTGCAGTATATATTCTGAAGTATAATCTGGGAACACTCATAAAAAGAGTTGGTTTGACCATTGAAAGATCCTAATTTAATTTTAGCACATCTCCTCCATACATACAAATTGTGCTTCCATATCCCAATAAAGTGATGACAACAAATCTCTCTAATACATGAGGAAGGGGTAAATAACTTAAATAAACATCCTTCTCGCTTACTAAAATACCTTGAAATACTACTCCACCACTTACTGATACAAAGTTTTTATGTCTTAGCATAACACCTTTTGGTAATCCTGTTGTGCCTGATGTGTAACTGAAAGTAAAAATACTATTTTCAGACAATTCAAAATATGCATGCACTTTAGCTTTTCCTGCTTAAATTACTTATTCATAAGGAATGACTTTGAGTCCTTTTTAATTAAACTTTTATAATTTTTAAAAATACTTTCTCAATAATTTCTTAGTTTAGTTCATCAAAACATATTATATTTTTTAATGCATGATAATTTGATACTTTTAATATTGTCTAGGCGTTCGATTCAGAAATAAAGAGAGTATTAAGCTAGGTTTATTCGAAAATATAAGGCAAACTTTCAAAACCCAAAGTTTCATACAAAGGAATCATTGTATTTCCATATAGAGTATTGGCTATATCCAGAATTAACCATTCTTCTCTATTTTTAGAGAAAACACCTATCATTTTTAGTTGCTAATCTTCGAATATCTCTGGCTTAGGAATAAGATTTAAGTTGATTATACCTGATCCCAAATATCTAAAATTAATGTAATTTTTACTCAGCATTTTACTTTACTTCTTTGTATGTCATGTATCTGTAATGCTTACTATTCTACCCAGTAGTAATCTGCTTACCTATACATCTATTATCAGGATATAAACGACAAGCTCTTAAAAACATTCCTTGCACAGTCTTTTCCCCCTCAAAATTATCCAGTAGTTTAGCAACATGGGTTGGATTTCTATAAACATGGCTTTCTCCTTCTTTTTTCTCTCCTACAGGTACTGCGTAAATCAATGACTATGCCTACCCCATTTAAATTTAATTATATATATCAATTTAAAAGATCTATCTTAATATATTACTAATTGTATAATTTTCTTAGAGAAACCGATGAGTTATTTTATATTTCGATCTATACTATTGTGATATTAAATTCATCATTATTATTGTGGTATTAATTCATAAGGTATTTGCAAACATTCCTCAGAACCAGAAATATCAGATACATTATCTAGATATATAAATAGATATTACCTTCATTCTAATCTGATTATGCAAATCTAATTTCAAGATTATCAGGCACAATATAAGAAAATATTTTGAATCCATTCAAACCTTATGGTATTACTGGATACTCTCCACATAAATTTACACTTCTTCCCTTATAATAACACTAGTCAAACACTTATAAACAACTATTATTCTCTTGCTATTAGAAGTCTACTTTCTTTTACACCATTCTATGACTCAATGGTTTCGATTCCTATTTTGCATTAAAATGCTTTTGACTAACATAATTGTGTCCATAATGGACAGTTTCATCAAATGGACTAAAAACATTTGGATCATCAATATTCCTATTATACACCTAATATCTAGGATCGTCTTCTACTATTCCTTAATATGCCTCATAATAATTTGGTCTCATGTCATCATAACCATAACAATTAAAATACCCAACTTAATCTCTGTATCTCTAAACTTGCTGTTTCGATTGTTATTATTATTGCTATCTAAGCCACATTTCTCTTAATTGATAGTCTGGATCTTAATATTTTCCCCTATAGAAATTTGAGTACCTTCCATAGCCTGGATATGGAGGATAATTTTATCGAACCATCCAAGGAACGCAACTTGTACTAGATGTCTATCTAGTATATGGATTAAGTCTTAATTATGGATTACCATTATAAAATGGGTTTGAATTAACACTTTAATGATGTCTATAAGGATAACCATTAAATGGATTTCCAAAATTTTAAAATCTGTTTTGTCTATTCATGCATCTGTATCTCCATAATAAATCTTCATCAAATATTTCATCCCCAGGGTATCTACCTGGATAGTTATATGGATAATGTGATTTTTTATTCTTTCTATGTTAATAATAAGGATGATTTCTTATGTATCTTCCATTTCCATCATACAATTCCTCATCCTCTTCCCCTTCCTCCTCTTTATTTCCATTGCCTTTGCTTTTACCCTTTTTTTTTTCCTTGTCTTTTGAACTGAACCCTCTCCATTAATCATCTTCATCCATCTCTTCACCCTTTTCCTCTCCATTTTCTTTTTCTTCACCATTTTCTTTCTCTTCATTATTCTCTTACTCTTAGTCTTGTCCTCCTTCATCTGCATTTTCCCTTTCTTCATTTTTTTCCTCTTAATTCTCCTAGTCTTCGTTCTGTTATTCTCCATCTCCATCTCCCTAATCTTACTCTTAGTCTTATTCTTAGTCTTATTCTTATTCCTGCTCTTACTCTTTTTCTTTATCCTCATCATCAGTATTAGCCTGAGCTTTAGCTTTAGCTTTTGGTTTCTCTTTTGCCTTCTCCTTCTCCTTTGGTTTCTCTTTTGCCTTCTCCTTCTCCTTCTCTTTCTCCTTAGGTTTTTCTTTCTCTTTATCATTTTCTCTCTATTAACTCTTATCTTATGCTTTATTTTTAGAACTTTCCTTATTTTTATCTTAACTTTTATTTTATGTCTTATTGTTTGCAGTACTTTAAGATTTATTTTTTTTTTATGATGATTCCTTATTCTAATTCTCTCCTTCTTATGCATTATCTTCTACTTCTTCTTGACTTTTATTTGATTTTGATTTATTTGACTTTTCCTTTTTTGATTCCTCTTCATCTTCATCTTCTTCTCCTTTCTTATTATTAGGTTTTCCTTCATCTTCATCTCCATGTAGTTTTATATCCTCCTATTTTGCATTAACAAAATTATATTCTATAATAATTCTATCTGCAATTATGGGAATAGTATCATCTTGAGATGCTTCATAATCAATATTTTTTCTATTTCCTCTTAAATTGAATTTTTGGCCTGAATAACTCTATCCATTTAAATTTTAATTTTCATACTCTCTCTCATTTTAAGATATTTTATGATGATGATGATGAAAATGTTTTATTTAAGGGGATCTATGATGATGGGTTAAATGTCTTCTAGGATGAAAATCATATTAGCTATCATAATCACTATAAAAAGATGTAGATTCGTAATATTCATTGTAGTTATCTGGATTATCGTAAATATCCTCTGACTATTATCTATATCTTTTATTATCTGAATTAACACGAATATCCGACTGATTATATTAAGTTGAATATGTCTCTGATTATTATTGTTCTTACAATTACTATTATGGTTATTATTAAAATTATTGATATTGTTAAGATTACTATTATGATTATTATTAGTGTTATTAGGATGATTAAAATTACTATTATTATTGAATATTCAAATCTTAAACTTGCGAATTATCTTAATCATCTAAAATGATTTCTTCAACTGTTGCTTATTATTCAATAATCATACCATCTTATTAATTAATCTGGTTTTATGAAGAAATCTATTGCAATTAAAGTATTTAATTTGATTCTTACTAACTATTGACATCTCTCTAAAAAATTTATTGTTTTTAATCACTGTTTTGTGTTTCAACTTGTTCGCTACTTTGGATTGATGTTTGTTTGCTAAAAGTTTGCAAATCCTCATTATATTCAAACACTTCTATTTCCTAACTATCTTAATTTTCCCAGCCAATTGGATCTTCATATACTATAAAATCCAAGTTTTACTCTTTTTCATCTTCCTTCTATATTAAACTTTATTTCTATTCTTTCTATTCTTCACTCTATTGTAGTTTTGGTTCTTCATTTTTTTCACTATTTAATTCTTTCTAAATTTAGAAATCATCATCCATTAAGAAAATTTCTGGGTCTTAAGGAGTATAAATTCCATTTAATGTTTTATATATTGGTTTCTAATCTAAATTATGTGATAAATAAAAAGTTTAAATATTGTTAGATTCATTATCAGAATTATCTTTAATTTAAAAGTTTTAAGTTGATTCAATAATCAAATTGATGTCTTTCTACTCCACTTCTCCAGTGAATATTGAGGACTAATATTTAGAGTAAGTGGATTCTGATTCTATAGAGATTTATTCTTGCTATAAAAGGATACCATTAATTTTTAATAACTTTTTGATACTTTCCAAAGATTTGCAATTTGATTTCTAAATTAAAATTGTAAGTTTATCGATAAGAATTTCTGGTTAATATTATTCTTTTGATTCAATAGAGAAGATAAAATTTTGCCATTTTTTAAGGTCATAACCTAACCTGGATTTAATAATAAATTGTACTTTTTTTGGTTTGAATAATATAAATGTAACTTTGTGAATTGCTACAAAACTCTTATTGCCATAAATATGTAGAATTATTAATTAGAATTTAATCTTACGTAATCAAAGAACAGTTATTAGTATTTATTTTTTAAAGAATTTCAAACTCACTTAAAATATTAGCAAAAAACATATTATTAAGTAAATTAAAATCTTAAAGGAACTTATTCTTTGAAAACTAGGCTAAGATTATTAATGAATTTACCTTTCAATATATTTTAGGGGTATATTTAAAGAACATCTATATTTTCTATCAAACTTTATAACTTTAGATCAGTTTTACATTCATTTAACTCGCAAATTTTATTCAATTAATTGAAGTTCCCAATAATACTTTCTATTTCTAAGGCAGTGTTCTGTAGTGTTATAAAAATCATTGATAGGAAAATTGATTTAGGATCATCAGATTTTTATCTCAAAATAATTTTACGAAAATCCTTTAAAGTAATTTCTTTGAATTAGGTCTGTGAAAATGTAATTATATTAACGTATATTTGATTCTCTTTATCAATAATAAATTTCACTTATTTATATAATAGACCACCTATGAAATTGCTCTTTATCTAATAATCAGCAAAATTAAAATACACATTTATCTAAAGTATAATTTTCATTTTACATCTATTTCTTTTTCATCCTAAATTATTAAAAAGTCTTTATAATCGTATAATTAATTTGTTGAATTGACTGAAATCTAATAATTGGAATCTGATGTTTCAATTCCAAACATGCCATTTTCTAATTTTATTATTTATAAATTTTCATCTATGGCATTCAAAATTTCGCAATAGAGTTTTGAATGGGTAATTTGGTTTACTTTAACGAGTTCTTGTGAAGCATAAACTGAAATTATCAGTGTATAAGCGAGCAGAAAAGCTGTCCGTTTTAAGAAAAATTTCATTCAAAGCAAAAAATAAAAAAAATTTATAAATAATTAAAAGCTAATATAAAGTTGGTTTATTTTTATTCTGTATGATTAAATTATATGTTCTTACTTAAATTTATTGAAAATATATATACAAATTATTTAAAATTCTAGATTGTTCGTTCTCTATTACCCTAACCAAATATCTATTAGTAAAATGCAAAAGTAAAAAGTGTTAAAAATTAGTTTAAATAATTATTTATACTTAATTTTAGATGGTATTCCATATTTTTAATTTTAAAGGACAATATTCTTACGACTATTTAAAATAATAATATTTTTGTAATTAATTAACTCATTGATTTTAAATCATCTCTTAAACTAATTTATCTCCATTGATTATATGGGTTGTACAAATTTTAATATCTTTTTCTAAGGAAATAGATCATTTAATTACTGTAACGCAATCCTAACCAACGTATTGCTGCTATTTCGCCATATGTAATCCCTCCTACTATGTAGATGACATAAATTTAATTTTGATCTTCCTTAACTTCTTCTCCTTTAAGTTGATTTAAATTTTATTGTATTACAAGATCTCCAAGGTAATTCTTTTAAGGCTTACAAAACCAATGGGCCCCATGTGTTTTTTGCAAATATTCGAACTCTCATTAATAAGTAAAAGATACATTATTGGAGCAAACGCAAGAAAAACATATAAAATATCTTCTGGAGCATCATGATCAACATATCTTCATTAATGACACAAAGGTTTTTCAATTTTTTCCCATATATGAGTATCATTAAGTTTTTTTCCAATTAAACCTATTTTTCACAATTTTCAAGTGTCATTATGTGCTGAGTGCCATACATATGCAAAATTTCTCTTCGATAAAAGTCATAAAGTTTGGTCTTCATTCCATTCTAGATTTAATTGTATAGACTAAATAATTGAATAACTTTAGTGATAGGAGCACCAAATGAAATAACTTAAATGTTGACTAACAATAAGATCTGTAATAGTGTAAATTATTACGGTCAAGAATAATATTTTGTTCTTTTTTTTTTTTTTGGCAGCATTCGTATTTTTGGAGAGATATTAATTCATATCACTCATATTCATTTTATTATCCTATTATTTGATGGATTAAATAATCTATTTGTTATTCTACCTCTTTTCTTCAAGAACTCATTGACATTGCTTTATATTCATAATTTTGATTCTATTGTAATAAGAATCATTAAGTTTTATCGTTTTTGGTCTGTCTTTTAAAGCTTATTAGTTTTTAATAATCTCTAGATTAATGGAATTATTCTTAATTGAAAACACTTCATCAATCAATGCTTCGTATGTGAATGGAGTCAACATAGGAGTTATGAAGTCTACCTTTCTGTCGATAACCAAAAGTGTATGCATTTTAGATACCTTAAAACTAACTTCATCTTCAATCAATTCCCCCTATTGCTTTTTTTATTTGAGTATATCAATGACATATTTAGAATAGTTTCCTTTGCATAAATATTCTTAAACTTTGCCATGCACTAATTCCATTTTTTAAATAGATTCAGCCACAGTTTACAAAATTGTCATTTCTTATCCAATATAGAGTGGTCGAAGACAATTATTCATTTCCAAGTATAGCAAATCATTGGCTATAGGTATTAGATCAAAATTAAAATTGGTTATGACTAAGTCACCCAAAACAGCCTCTTTTTCTAAATAATCTTTGCATACAATATTCATTTGAGAAGATTAGTAAGTACTTTTTATTCAAATTCTCAAGTTAATTGTTTCTAATGATTCTTACTATTCTATTCATGTATTGTCTATCAGAATTTACAAAAATATAATCTAATTAACTTCTACATTCAATTAATCAGAATCGATGTAATACATTTAATCAACACCATTTTCTTTCCAAATCTACATTGATTCAACAACCAGATTAAGCATATCCGCAATAAATTGATCAATGACAAGTACTTTCTTACCAACAAACTAATTTATTTATAATCTTTGAAGTCTTACTTAATTCAATTTATTGATTAGCTTTTGTCTCAAATACTTCTGATACATGGCAGTTTAAAAGGACGATTACTGATCTTCGAATTGACTTAAGTTGACTTTAACAGAATTGGAAGGAAGTCCACTCTGTTTCACTTTAGATGCCACTTATTCAAATGAGTCTTTGATAAATTGGAACATTTATTACTTCTGAATATTAATATTTTAACGATATTGAATTATGCTGCAAAAGAAAGACTCTGACAAGGAAAACACTTCCTATAATAACAAAGATTCATAAAAACAAAGGGTGATTGGAGATTACTTATTAGGTTTGAAGTTTTTACTATTAGAGTTAAAACTCTTGGAGTAGGTACTTTTGGTTTAGTAAAACTTGGAGTGCATTAAATAACTGGAGAGAAAGTGGCCATTAAAATATTGGAGAAGGAGCGTATTGTGGAAGTTGCAGATGTAGAAAGAGTGTCAAGGGAGATACATATTTTAAAATTGATTCGACATAGACATGTTATCTAACTATATGAGGTAAATTTAAACCTTATATATATAAGATAATCGAAACAAAGAAGCATATATTTTTGGTCATGGAATTTTGTGATAATGGTGAGCTTTTTGATTACATAGTCAAAAATGAAAAGTAAGACTCTAAAATTAATTAATTAGACTGGAAGAAGTTGAAGCTTGTCGAATATTCTAAGAACTAATCTCAGGCATTGAATACATTCACAAACTTAACATCGTCCATAGAGACTTAAAGCCAGAAAATCTTTTATTGGATCATTCAAATCAAATTAAAATTGTAGATTTTGGACTTTCTAATACCTACAAAGAAGGTGAATTACTTAAAACAGCCTGTGGAAGTCCTTGTTATGCAGCTCCAGAGATGATTGCTGGTCATAGATATCAAAGTATCTTAGTTGATATTTGGTCATGTGGTGTTATTTTGTTTGCCACCATTTGTGGTCAATTGCCTTTTGAAGATAAACATACAAGTGAGTTATACAAAAAGATACTTAATGGATAGTATACCATACCATCACATGTCTCATAAGATGGTTAATCTTTTATTAAAGGGTTATTGAATACTGATCCCAAAAAGAGATTTGACATTGACCAAATTAAATCCCATCCTTGGTTTAAGTTATATAAGAGAGTTCATTCAATACCATAAGGAATCATCATAGGATACAGTCGAATTCCAATTGATGAGGAAATTGTTGAATAACTCGCTCAAAAAGGATTTAGTGCTGATTACATTAAGAAATGTCTTGATGCTAATAAACACAATAATCTGACCACAGCCTATTTTCTACTTCTAAAAAAACACTTAATTAAAGGAGGCCAATCAACAGCTGATATCAATTCATAAAATTTCAACGAAAAGCTCTTAGAACCAGCTACTAGACCATCGAAACGTATATCTATTTCTTAACTTAAAAAAAGCTCCCATAAGCAATTTATTAGATAGTTAATTAATGAAAACATTAAAGCACAATAGATCAGGATCTTGTCAAACTAATTAAAAATCACATACTCAAGGAAGAGGAATGTCAGTTCCTTAGGTCGAGGATATCAGATCGATCTATAATGGATCAAAGAATTATCAGAATTCTTCATTATCAATTGAAGTAATCAATTTAATCAAATATCAAATAGGATTAGTCCTTTTTATTTGAGAGAAATAAATCTTAATCTTTCCAATAGAATAACCATAAGAAAATTCCTACTGATATATAAATTAATGATGCTTTGAATAAAACAACTTACATAAATACAAGTAAGAGATCTTCTAATGCCTCGACTGTCTCCCCTGGACATCAAAATAAATTACTTTAATATTTGAGTAAAAATAAATATTATAAATTAGAATCATCAACAAAGAATACTACTCCCACAGCCGTTAGAGGGAATTCTTAATCGAAAATGCCATATAATAGTAAAACCACTAAAAATCAAAAAGTTTCTTAATCAAATTTCGATAATAATAATAATTCTATTTTGGAAAAAAAGAAAGAAAATAAACCAATAAATTTAGCTGACACTACAAACATTGACAACAAGAAAAGATCTTTGCATATAGAAGGAGTAAAAGTATGATTTTATTAGGTTTAGGATCTCTCAATGCCTGCAAGTACTAAACCATAATCAATGCCATATCAATTATGGCTAAAGATGAATAGCAGAAAAGGATCGAGGGATTATAGCAGCGGTGGATCAAAGACAAAAAAATCAAATGGTAGCGGTAAAAATAATATGAATCAGAGCTTTAACTTTGATAAGAGAGCATGATTTCCTTCTACATAATTAATTTATTTTTTCGAATATGTATTTAATAAAATTCCTTTATGTTAATAGAAGCAGTAGAATTAGGATATTTGTTTGATAAAAGCAAATACAATCTATTATTAATATACTGACAAATAGCTAATATTTTTGCTCATTTTTCAACTTTTCCAAGCCATAAAGCCAAAAGTGACTTTCCTTTAACTGCAATAATCTTAAATCTGACCCCTGGAATATCTCCGACTGCATGTCCCTTTCTACCGAATCCAGCGACTGTAACTTCATCGTTTTCATTTAAAAAATTTAAGCAACCATCCTTGGGAACAAAAGCTGAAATCTTTTTACCATTCTTTTTCAATAATACTCTAACACACTTTCTGACGGCAGAGTTTGGTTGTTTGGATTCACTAAATGGAGTTTATAAAATTAAGTTTACACTCCAATTTTTTCAACAACCAATCCCTTAGCATGTGATGCTCCCATAAATGGATTCTTATATCTTGATCCAATCATAGCCTTATTATATTCTTTATCAGCCCATCTGTTAACTCTTCTGTGATCTTTGAGCTTTCTTCCTGCTCTCATACCTCTGGGTTTACCAACTCCCATGATTAAAAGATTTTAATTAAATTATTTAAATTTTCATAATATGATTAATACAATATAAAATTGCATTAGATAAATCTCAAATATACATCATCACAATTATTTTCTGTCGTTATACCCTGAATTTCTAACAACTGAATTTCTCCCACTATTGTTAGCACCATAAGTACTATACCCTCCAGGAGCTATAGTAGCCCCTTTGATGCTACTTGTTTCAAATTAAGTTGTCACTGCAGTACCAGATGGCCCGGTCCTTTTAATTTCACTTTCTTTGGTTACTGTAACTTTGCTCTTTCTCAAGGCCTCTAATTATGTTTCAGCCATTGTAAGTTTTTCTGAAATATCAGAATTAATTTCATTTTGCTATTTGAATTTCTTTTTCCATAATTCTACTTCCCCTTACAGAGAAATAATTTACTATTCTGATAATGAGAAACTCTCCAATTATATTTCCAATTCTCTTATTCTTTGGTCTAGCGATTCAAGTTCATTGTCTTTATCATTCATGAGTAGTTTGAGTTTACGAATTTCTTGGTCTTTAAATTCATTTTGTTCTTAGGAATTTTTCAGGTCATCTGTTAAGCTGTCTTAAAGATAATGGTAGATATTTACTAATTTTCTTTTTAAGAAGTCTTATCTCATCATCTGCTCCTTGATTTTTCGAATTAGATTCCTAAAGTTATTTATAACGTAATTTCCATTAGTCTAATTCGTCTTGTAATTATTTATTAGCCTATCTGAGACTTTATTCTTAAAATTTTAACTCTTTGTTAGCATTCACAAGTTCGTTAATCTAGAATGTTAATTTATATTACTTTGGTATCATCTTAAACATAGGAAATCTAAGGGGCACCTCCTTTTAATCTAAGATTTTCTTGTTGAAGATCAAACAAACACACTTCCAATTGCACTTAAAATTACATAATTGAAATTACTGCATTTTGTTTTCCACCTTGAGTCCATGTCATCCATTGTGACAACTTGTAAAGGTCTTTCTTAATGATGCACTTCAGCGTTATTTGGTTGTGTAGGTGCAATCCTAACAGAGGGAGTGATTAGAAGAGGTTGTGATTATGTAATACTTTGGGATAAAACAGGTGTAGTAGCAATTTGTCTTGCAGAAAAGGGGCTTTCGAATAATATTAATAATATACGCTATTCCGATATTTTAAGATGAATACTATTGTACTTAGGGTTGCCTCAACTAAGGACTATATAATAGAGAAGTGATTGTACTTATATTAGAAAGTTTCAGTTTAGCCTATAGATCCTTATTGACCTATTCTGGGTTATCTAATTAAATTGGATGATTAATGAAGTAGTGATTGAATTTGAGAATGATTGTATCCTGCTTAGCTATGAATAATAATGATATTATTACTCCATTATGATTAAGCTGTTATTAAATAAATATTTATGCTAAAAGTATTTCTCTTAAGGTTTGTTTCAGAAGTTATTCATAATGTTAACAATTTATGATAAATATATGAAGTTCGATTGTGATTTTACAATGGGAAAATAAGGTAACATGTTTAGGAATTTTTTAGTTTTGAAGTAATTTACTCACCTAGTTAAATCGAAATGCAAATAGGTCGATTTGATTTCAATCACATATTTTATCTTGAAATATGTGATGCTTTTCCAGACCTCATACCATTATATGGTTTTGGTTTTATAGTAATTGTTTTTTTAGATCAAGTTGAAGTGACTGTTTATATTCATGTTATCTGAAATCAAAAAGTGTCTCTCAAGTTTAGATTTTTAGCTGAGAGACTCCTTAGGGGATCTTATAATGATCGAATCTATTAACATTTAGTTATTTTAGAAAGTTATTAGTAAACAATTAGAGAGAATAAGAGCTTAGGTAAAAAAATTTTCACTAATTCATGGCTAAGAAGGTTTGAAAGGAAACAGAATGCCTTAATTCCTGTATTCGCATTAGAAGAGAGCCTAAAATTATTTGTCTTGTTTTAATTTAATAAAACAACAACTTAGGTTAATGCAGGCCTATATTCAATATTAATAGATATATCCACTATATGGAAATCTGTTAAGTGAAGTATACCCTTTTAGATGAGGAAATCTTCTATTTTAAATGCATATAATTAATTGATATAATGATAGCATGGTTATTTTCAAAAGGATAGATGACAGATAATAAATTTATGTTATATATCAACACTAAAACTATGGGTTTACTGAAAAATAAACCACTTTGATTTTGATTAATGAGAATAAAAATTACATTATGGAAGTAACTAATTAGTAGTTTAGGGATCACGTTATGGACACTACAATTTTATAGTTTCTATTTAAACAGCCTTACACTATTAAATGAAGTATTTTATATGCAGGAACTATAGAAACCTAATTAAGTGTTAATCATCAATTATATTACTGGCTGTTGCTGTTATGCTAGATGATGTCTAAGTATTTAAGTTTGTAAAGGACGATGAGTGTAAAAAATCTAGTTTAATAAATCTTGGTTATTGTGCTCCTAGCATATTAGGAAATATTACCTTTGGAATGTTAAGGATAAATGGGTTTCTTTATAATGAAATAATATTATGCAAGAAACCTATGAATTATAATGAATAAATGTATAAAAACATAGCATGCATAAGGTAATATAAAATCAGGGGTAATCTATTGTGCAGTAATTAATTTATATATTAATCAATCTCTATAAGTAACAATAGAGTAGGTTTATTATCTGCTTTTAGTCTTTGTTCGAGCATTTATTGAATGTGATCTCAATTTTGGTAGTTTTAATACATCTCTTTTTATGGTAGATTAATCTAATAGACTTTAGTTAGTTGGAGTTACTAATTACGTCTTGTTGGTGTTTTGTATGAGTGTTTCATAGTTATTTTCCAAATCATATTATTATAAATAGCCAAATAACTAAATGTCATTCAATTTTATTATGTTTCTTAAACCCTTAAATTATTTATTTTAAGTTAACATCTATTCTGTCTATTTGGATTATTAGGATATTTATTTTTGAATAGTTTCCTTTTATTACACAGACTAGAAGCTCAATCTGACTCCAGGTTACAATTTAAAATCCTAAGTTTATGACTCTATAAACTCAACTATTGTTTCTTCATTTTCTGCTTATCTTCGTTTCTATCTTATTTATTCCACAAGTTTTGGTTTTGAAATAACAGCATTATTATCAGTCTATGGTACTTCAAATGGCAAAGTAGTTATAACATCCTTTCTGGTTTAATTGTTAGATCTTGCAATAGGATCGCAATTGTAATCGTAAGTATATTCTTTTGATCCTATTTGCATTATCAATCTATTATATTACTCTTTCATCATCCGTTTCTCCTTAGATCGTTCTCTAATCATTTACTCTTTATTTGATTTTTCAAAACATTTTTATTCCATTATTCTTCTTTCATTTGGATATTCTTCAACAAATTCTATTGTTTTTTATCTAACCAATTAAGGTTCATAGTCTTCCCACAATTAAGTTGGTAACATAAATTTATGCTTTGGAGGTAATTCTACTTTTGGTGTCATCCGAACAGAAATCGGAGCTATGTCTTTAATATCATATGCTCTAAATCTTTCCTTTTATGTGCTCTGAGCTTCAAAATCTTCCTTCTCATTATAATTTTGAAAATAAGGATCAAAACATTTCTAATGCATCATATTGAAAGCTAAATTAGCTGCAAAAGAAGCACTCGATTATGATTCTAAACTTTCAAAAATCTTATCCTCTACTCTTGTCATAATTTTGTTAATAACATAAGGCATGATGGTTTCAACTATTTCTAAATATTCCATTAAAATATTTGAATATGAAAATTATTCAGAATTATCAAAAATTAACATGCTGAAAAGGACTACAATCATTTAAGAACAAAGTTAAAATATAAAAATTTGAGTTTTATATTATAAATTAAAATGAGGATGACCTATTTTGATATTTGTGTAACGAGTTCACGAATTACTTTAATCAAAATAATTAATTTAAGCCTTGATCAATAATGGATTTGACTAGTGGGAACAAACCAAAGAACTTACAGTCGATATTTTATTACCATTGTGAGTTCCAAAGGACAAGGCATTTTAAATAATCTAAATAATCAATGAGATTAATGGGTAGCCCCAATCTGCTAAATCTAATTCTAAGCCCTTGACGTTAGAATTGATGACTAAAAGGTTTAAATAAAAAACAATATTATTCAAATAACCTCCTCTTAAAAAGCAAGATTAATTGTTGTGTACTTTCATTAAATGGCTTGATTTAATATCATTAGGTGAATGCATTTCTATGGTCAAGGATTATAAGTGCTTTATATTTATGATAACAATTTGTAAAAATTAGTATTTCAAGATTTATAATTTTTCAGAATATTGAATGTCAAAATAACTAAATACAGTCAGTTGAATTTGAATAATTGGCAAGATAAGAAAATGATACTTTGATAAAAATTGTCTATCAATTATGCCAATCCTACCTAGTAGGTTAGGTTGATACTCTTTCATTTCAAATCAGAATACTATTGAATTTCAGTTTCAAGATGAATCATTTGAATTAGTGGCATTCTCTTTAATTAATTTGAGTTTATTTTGTCTTTCGGTTATTTGCAGAATTTAGAATACTTAATTTTGAGAAATAATAAACTTAAAGAATATGATGTATGAAAGATAGTATCTTATTAATTTAGGAAAATAAAAAATTTTAAGAAGAAATCAGAGTTTAGAAGGTAAGAAATAGATAATACAAAAACCATCAGTAAGTGGGTTAAGCAAAAAATTTTATCAGATGAAGAACATCGATCTCATTAGCAATAAGGCATATCAAAAACCATTAATTCTGCTAATTATTTCAATGATAACCACCAACTATGCTTACCAAACATAAATGATTTCTTTAATTCATAGATTTTAGTTTTATGAAATATTTATTTTTAATCCATCTATTTACAAAATGATACATGTAAATTAAATGAATAATTTTAAATGTAAATATCAAATCACAGCATCTAGCATCTAATATGTTATTTCATTGTGTTTTAAATATTCACATACGTCCTCAACAATTACATTTTAAAATGTAATATTCTAATCGTCTTAAGGTGTAATTACCATTAAATCAGGGTAATCTTCTTTAAATTAAGTAATCATTCCTTCAATTTTTTGATTTAATTTCATAATTTTAACTTAAATCTTTTTATTTCTCATATTCTAGAAGATTTGGCTTTATGTTTTATTACAAGGGCAGCCATTTGGAAACGAATCTCCGAAGTTATGATATTTTTTTCCATGTGGAGGTGCATCAGCAATTAAGTATAACAAATTTTAATAATTGTCATTCCAATTCAACTCTGAAGAAGCATGCAGACCATCTAAAACAGCCTCAGGTTCATCATCACCTCCTTCGGCTGACAATGAATTTAAAAAACCTATAGCAACAGTATATGAAGTAAATTAACAAATATTGACAACATTCTAAAACTCATCATAAGGATTTGAATGATCTTTATATGATACAATTGCAAATTTCATCTCAATCTTATTATTTTACTTTATTTTTTACATTATACTAATGATGACTTCTTTACAGTTTTAAATATATTCTGACATTGATCCTGTCGAATCAATAACAAACGCTATGTTAATCCCTTGTATCAAATTTCCTTTGTGAGTTGATGAACACGGAAATTTATGTTTGCTAACCGTGTTATCTTAACAATGCCAGGCTTTTAGGCAACAAAATTGATATTCTCCATTTATTTTTTTACATAGTGGGCAGTAATAATTACATTGGCCTATATTTTATGTTTCATTTGGGATTGGATGAGCCCATCCTTTATAATCCCAATAGTCTATGCATAATACTTCATCAAAATTCAGATTTTAAAATCCTTCATATTTCTCCTTAGAATGTTTAGCTCTAATACCATATTACTTTTCTAAACATTAACTTTCCCCTTTGCATTCAATCAAATGATAGTGACTTTTTCCTCTTCTCTTACAACTCTGATCACAGGTTTCTGGCGTTGATTACTCTCCAATTTAATACTGCCTCACAACATTATTATCCTAATCCTATATGATTAAGTTAAATTCCTCCCCCTATTTTGCTGTAAATATTTAATTTTCTTTATTTATGTGGATTTGGGAAGAATGATGACCGGGATGGCCATATTTCAAATCACAAATTTTATTACATTCAGGACATTTTTAATCGCATAAATGAAATTATTTTTCTGTTTCTACCATGCAACTGTGGATTTAATCATGATTAAGTTGATCTGGTTTAATGCTTTTGCAACATTTCTTTTTTTGATTACTTTAAGGAATATATTTTATATATGGGAATCTAGATTACCACATAATTTCAACTTAAGTATATGTTATTTAGCATATTCCTTTCTCTTGACATAATTCCCTACACTCATGCTAATCTCCACAAAAATGATTTTATTACTCTTAGGAATGTGTATGTTGCTTTTCACATTAAGAATTACAATATTAAGAATGTTCATGTGCTTTTTTACATCGCCTTTCACATAACATGCAATTCTCCTTACAATAGATTTCTTCACATATATGGTTTTAATGTTCTGTTGTCCTATCTACACTGCATTTCTTACTACAATACTAACATTTTTCTGCACATAGATGATCATTAGTGCAATTATGTAATCCAGCATGGTTTAATTCTAGATTGCATTTGACCTAACATTAAATTATATCGCATTTAATATTGCATTTATGATTTTTCAAGGAACACAAATGATACTATTGCTCATTATGACCAGCCTTATTGTCGCATGTTTTACTCGGACATACTTTGCAAGCTTAATCGCATTTGTGGTTTTCTCTTAAACAAGAATGAACATTCAGATTTAAATCTGCTAATTCTTGCAAATTTTGTTTTAAAGTTTCTAATCTTGCACAACTTCTTTCTACCTTCTCGAAAATTTCTAAATTTTTCTTTTTGTTTTGCTATTAAATCTAGAGGTCTAACATTTTTTTTTCCATTATTTAATATTCCTGTTCTAAGTTCTTAAGTGTTAAATTTGCATAATATTCCTTCCCTTTCCAATCCTTAAGTAAGGTTTCAAATTTCTATATTTCTATTTCAAGAGTTTATATTTTAATTAATTTCTCCTCCAAAATTTTCAAATCATTCAAATCTATTTTAGCTTATTCAATTGATTATTCTATTAATTATTATTAATTAATAAAATCTGTTTCATATTGTTTCAAAATATTTAATTCTTATTTTTTCTTTTCTAATGTTTCTAATAGTGTATTATATTTTTCAGTTACATCAATGATTTACTTACCCAATTCATCTTTTTTTCCGTTTTTGATTTACTTTTCATTCAGCAAATTAATAAGTTTGTTTTACCTATCAACAACTAGTTGAGATTATAATATTTCTTAATTTACAATCTCAATTTCTTGCAAAAATCTTATTATATCATTCTCTTACTCAGTAGTTTCTAATTGTATCTTTAATAAGAATTCCTGTTTGATGTTGGTCTAATCGATCTATTAATTCTATCTACCTTATTCCACCAAACAAAGGTCAAAAAAATCAATTTTGGAAAAATACATAGAATCAATTTATTCCTTTAATTAAGATTCTTCATTACAGCATTATTCAATTTAATTCTCAATATTTTGGAACTTAGGCTATGATAATTCTTATTTAATATTTTCGATCTTACTTTTGTTTTTATATTTGAATTGTGATAATTCTGTTAGTTCTTCATTCATCTAATAAATTTATGCTTTATTTTTGTTTAAATCAATTTTCTTATTAATAGTTTAAGTGAGTTTAGCTTCTAGCTCTTTTTTTTTATCTGATTTTTATTAATACAATTACAAAAATTCTTGTGTCGCCATGTTGGTATATTACTCTTTTAATCTTAAATTTTCATTGTAACTTTATTACAAAAATTTGAGTTCATCTCTAAGATCACTTAATTTTTGATTTCGATCTCTTATTTTATTACTATGTTGATTTTTTTCATCCTCATTCACATCGACTCCCAATGATCGGATTTCATTTTCGATTATTGTTATTTCAGAAAGTAATTATTTGCTAACTTATTAATATTGACAAATTTCAACTTGGTATCTTTCTGTTTTCAAGCCAATCTAATTACATTAGTTTTCAAGTTCTAAGCATTTCATCTCAATCTCTTCTTTCTCATTGATAATTTTATTCAGTTTACCAAGTTAGTTTTACAACTCATTTTTAGTGTTCTTTTACTTTTAACTTATAAAATTAATATCAAATGTAATTTACATATTTTAATTTTCTATTTCCATTTTACTGCCATTTTGTTAAACTCTTTAAGCTCTGAAGAAATTGAACTTTTAAACTTTATTCATTTAATCTTATTTTTCCTCGTGCTTTGTAGATAATTGAATTAAGTTCGATAATAAAAATAATTTGTTTTCAATTTCTTCAATACTTTGCGTAATAGAAATTAAACTATTTCTTTCCTTAATTTCCTCTATTTAATTTTTTATTGAAGAATTGTTCTTTTCTTGCTCTAATCTTGTAATTTCAATTTCAAATTTTTTTTTTAATTAGTCAAAATGCTCACTGTGATTATTGAAGTATTTGCAAGTTAAAAAACATTCATTGCATTTGCTTTAACAATACTAATATCGATTAAATTAAATTTTAAAAAAGTCTTCAAGTTTAGAATTTTCTAATTCAATTTTAGCCTAAACTTCCCTGCTATTGATATTTGCTAATTCAGATTAAGTCTTTTTATTAATAAGTTTCTTCCTTTAGTCCATCAATTTTTTTAACTAATTTTTAGCTTCTTCTAAGTTTGATTTATGATCATTGACATTATCCTTTAATTAAAGATCGTTATATAATGATTTCAAAAGTGTATGGTTTTATTTAAGGTACTCTAAATCATCCATTTCAAATTAATATGATCTCTAATTTAACTTTAATTCTTCGCCTTATTATTATTAATCTAAAGAAAATTTATACCACTGTTCTTTGCTTTCTTAATAAATTTATTCCAAACGGATTTCATAAGCTATTAAACCTGCATTTTTTGTATCTGACAATTCAAGTTAACAAAGTACGATTTTTACCATTTATATTAATTCCTTACCATTTTTCCATCGAATACTTTCGGTAGATTTTTATATAAGAAAGTTTCTTACTTGCTTTATTTATTCATCAAAAAATTCAGAGTTTTCATTATTAACTAATTTTTCTACCGAAAGCGTGTTTTTAAACAATTTATTCAAAAATACAATATCTTATGAGTTAGGTTTTCTTAGTCTGTCTAAATTTCTCATTTATTCCTTCTCTAATCCTAAATTGTCAGTAGAACTGACATCTCTAATGATCATATATAGAAAACCCTGAAATAATTTTTCATCATTTAGCTAATTCGATGCTTCCACTAAATTATTGAGGAGTTCATTTTAATGTCGACTAAATGAAGCATCTTAATTTAAAATAGTAATATCACTAATTGCAGTTATAAACGCGAGCATTTTAACCTCTTCTTTTTCAGTTCTCGATCCATTAAATAAGCCTTCACAGTCAAGTATTAAAAACTTTTAATTATTCACCATTGCTAAACTTCCCCAGACTCCATCAGTGCATCTGGCTGATGAAACAGAAAACCTTGTTCCAAATACTCTATTTAATAAGTAACTTTTGCCTGATGACTACCTACCAATAATTCCCACAACAAAAATTTTCTTTTCTTCTGCTAACAAATAATCCTCTAAAAATCCAAGATGTAATTTTTTGACCTTACAATCTATACTTATACTCTTCTAATTGAGTGACAGTTATCTAAAACCATCATTTAAAGGTATTAAAGTTCCATTTTCAATGGTACAAATTTATAAAGGAACTCTAGAAAATATAATGTCCATTATTTGATTTTTATCACACTGAGAGAATTGATTCTCTTTAATATTCAAATTAGCATAGTTCAAAACATTCAATTTTTTGTAATAATTTTCCATAATACCCTGTTCATTTTCTTTAATACATAATTAAATATTTCTTTATTTATTTTAATATAAAAAGTCAGCATTAGGTCCAAATTTAATAAATGAACCTTTGACAATATCCAAGGCAGGATTACCTAAAATTTGGCATTCTTATTATTATCTTTGCTGAAATCTGGTTGATTAAATTAATAAGACTTATTTCTATCTCTAATTTTATAGTTCGTCTAACTAATCAAAGATGATCACATCAGAAGAATCAGAAACAATTTTTACTAAACCATTAATAGGTATTGTTTACAATTTCTTACCGTGAAAATCGTATCTGTCACAACAATGAAAATTAGCAAGGTAAAAGTATTTTCCGCTTGGGCAGGTTAATAATTATTTGTATTGCTAGGTTGGATTGGTGCTAGGAGAAAATTCTGTTTTTATTACTTTCTATTCAATTTCTTATAAGCATTTAAAAACACGAAATGATTATTCTGTCTCAGATTATGTATAGATTTTATTATTTTTGGATAAAACTATGAATTATTTGCAAGTATTAATATATGCAACTTAATCTACTAAAAATGGATTACCCAAATTATCCAATTAAGAGCAATATAATAAATCATTTTAGACTATGCCTCCTGAGGTAATTATTATCTATTACACATACTTTTCTTTATGATTGAATATGAATAAGTGGTCAAGTATATAGTCGAAATAGTATACTGCTTGTTGTATATCTATAAGTTCCAATTATTTTACCACTTTTACTTATGGGGCTTAAAATAGTAAAAATAAGATATAAGCCATTGTTTAAGTGTAAACTATAAAAATAGTAGCCCGATTTTTAGTTGAAAATATATCTTTAACAATATAGTCTTAGTTTCTTTTTGATAAAAAACTGCCATCTAAACAATAATCATTAAGCTCATCCAATTAAGGTATGATATTTTAAATTCTCTAGGACTCATTACGACAGCTTCTTAAATTAATTTTCTTAACTGAATACATTGATTGCTGACATAATTCGAAATATAATTCATCTATCAAATTTTTAAATTCACCCTATATTTGCTTAAATTATTTATTAATAATCCCAAAATGTTCATTAAACTACTTTGTATATTTCTAATATTCTTAAGAGTCCGGGAATTTAAAAGGTAGTTGCTAATTTTCAATAAATTCAACTGACTAGAATATTGATTACACAATCTCTTCTGCTTTTGGCTATTTTGAGTTGTCCTAGAAAATACGTCCAATAAACCAACGTTATAACTCTTTAAAGATTTTTTAGACTAGAGTTTTCCTTTGTTCTTTAATTTCCTCATTTAATTTTAATGATAGTTCATTTAGAAGAGTTCTAATTTTATCACTTTAATGCTCCTTTTTAAATGAATTAATCAAAGGGATTATACAATGATTTTATTTGGTGATAATTTGAATCAACAAGGCCTAAGTAAATGAGTTAAAAGTGCTATATAAGTCTTCTATTTTAATCTTTTCTAATCTTTTTATTATATAAATTTAGGGGATTGTGGATTAAGAATTAATAATTTACCAGCTTCCAATGTCATTTTAAAGACCAGAATATTAGCATTGATAAATTTAAATATCTTGATTATTAAATTCTGCAAAATCATAATCACGTCTTACTAATGATTAAGCATTAAAGGGTATCAAGTCTCCATGATACCAATTCGTGAAAACAATTTCATCTAAACATAATTTTATGCTATCAGTAAAATCATGCAGAATTCTAAATAACACAATTTCTATTGATTTTTCTTAAATAGGTCTTTTTGTGAAGAATGAAATTGGTAATATCAAGCAAAATAACAGAACATCTGATAATTTTATAACAATAAGATTTCCTTTTTCTGATTATTACAATAATTCAGTTAAATCTATTTCTTTCTTAAACTCATTCTAAATTTCTTTTTCTACATTTTTCTGACATCCAAATATACCTTTAATTTTCAGGTTTGATAAAGTATTTAGTTGAATGCAAACTTATTAAATATTGTTAATATGAAAATGTATTTTGTCGAGTTAAACATCTAAGGCACGATCAGTGACTATTGAATACAATACAGTTATTTCAATTCCACTATTAATTGAATCCATTATCTCTAAATTTCTATAAATCAAATAATAATTATTGAGTTTAATCTTCAGTTATTTTGAGAAATATAAAAAAATAATAGAATTTAGAATTTAATAGAATTTTAATTTTTGTCAATATTAATATGTATATATTTTTAATTCTAGTAATTGAATACTATGTTTTAAGATATTATCATATTTCATTTAGTCAAGTTAATAATTGTCAACATTTTTTATCTTAATGATGTAAATAGGATATTTGAAAAAAATAAATGTGATATACTTTTGGATAAATATATTGTTTTTTGTCATTCTTCAAAAGCAATTAAATAAGATTCAAACAAGTTTCCCCCATACACTTGGGAAGGAATTTTCAATTATCAAAGAAGTCTTTAATTAGTCTAATGAACAATTTATTGTCTCAAAAAAAAAATAACTTATTATTATTGATGAACCAATTTTTTGTCATTAATCAATATATCATAAATTTTAGAATAAGGGACAGAATTCTAGTTTGAAATGATTGCTAGTAATAAGAAAAATCAAGTGTAATGATATGTACTGGTCAAAATGGATTTCAGTGTTACAAATTTTATTGGAAATGTTTCACCAAAATTTATTTGCTTAGTATCTCTAAAAGTTAAATGTCAAAAACAGCAGCAGAAGATATATTCTGTTTCTTATTTTGCAATTACATTAGATTAATTTTTCGTTTTAACTCCATATTCTCCAGAATAAAATCTCATTGAAAAAGTATTGCAATTTCTTTAAGGAAAAATCTATATAGTGAATTTAAAAGACCAATATTATCTTTAAAAAAATTACTTTAAAATTGTAAAGAAGAAAAGTGATTTTTGAATATGTTTAGCTGTTTACGAAACTATTTATACGATTATGATTAGCACAAAATATATTGGTGAATATCGTCAATTGGAAATTGAAATTTTCATTTTTTAGTTTAATTTTTTACCAGTCATTTATTTATAAGAATCAACTTTTGAAAAATTACCAATGAAAATTTATGAATTTCTGGTTTAAAATTTTCACCATTGATGTTTGTGATTATTCTTTTGTGGAAATTTACCAATATAAATTTTATAAGAACGGGAGATAAAATAAGCATATTATATATATTTTATAAATATTTTCCAATAATAGCTATATATATATTGCTAGAGAGATCGATCTTGACCTAATTAGCAGATAAGTTTCTAAGATGAAGTGATAAAAAGTTTGAATGGAAGTGAATCATATAAGAAAAACTATTTTTCCAGTAAGATCTTTATGTAAGTTATTGGATCGGAAATGCAATTATTACATTATCAATTTAATAAATTTAAGCTCTAATAGATGAAAAATAATAACAAGCTATTAATCTAAGCATCATATTTTATATAGAGAGTTAAATCATAAACAACGAAGAACTAAGGCTAACAGTTTGCTATTTCTTATTAACCAATATTATATTCATTGAAGTAACAATATATATTCAATTGATTGTAGATATTATTCATACAATTTAATGTTAAAATTCACATCATTTAATTAACATTATTAT